CACTTCATTTTCACTATTATTTATTATTACTTATTACTATCAATTCAACTATTGTGGTTGCATGGTAAACAAATCATATACACTATTATTACTAATTTTATTCAGTTTTATTAGTGCTGTATTATGGAAGAAACATTTGTACTATTACCTAATGTCAATGGTGGAGTAATGGACAACGAGCCGAGTTCGAATTCCGGTCGAATCCATTACATTCACTTCTGTCCTAATAACCATGTGAAAGGTATGAATCCACTTCTTCCCTTGCCAACTATGGGTAAATATTAGGATAAACCGGGTTCTAAAGCCATGGATGGCAACTGGTCAATCGCAGAAAGAAATGGACAACCGAGAGTGGGGAAAAACATCTGCCGCGTCAGTTACGTATCGAATGATACATGATCGTCTAAGCGTGTATCACGCATGGTACAGAAGATACGGGTAAAGAGCAGGGGAGAACAGGTTCTATACCCTTGGATGGCAATTAGTCTACCGCATAAAGAACTGGTAATCGAACGCAGTACCTCAGTAGTAGAGGAAACAACTGCTGATTGAAGAGTCCTCGGTTCAATCACGAGTGTCCCCTACCAGCAGTCATTTTTCTTAAATCTTCTCATACATTACTTCACTTACGGCCAGGAAACATTGGTTATACGCGGGGGATGTAGCTCAGTGGTAGAGCATTCGACTGCAGATCGAAATGTCCTCGGTTCAATCTGAGTGTCCCCTACCAGCAGTCATTTTCTTAAATCCTCTCATGCATTACTTATCTTACGGCCTTGAAACATTGGTTATACACGGGGATGAAGCATTCAGTGGATCGAAATGTCCTCGGCATTCGAGTGTCCCTTGCAAGATCGAAATGTCCATTCTTCTTTCAATCATTGATTATACACGGGGGATGTCCCATTCTTCCAACCGTCATTTTCATAAATCCTCTCATTTGCATTACTTCTCTTACGACCATGAAACATTGATTATACACGGGGATGTAGCTCAGTGGTAGAGCATTCGACTGCAGATCGAAATGTCCTCGGTTCAATCCGAGTGTCCCTTCCAACCGTCATTTTTCATAAATCCTCTCATGCATTACTTCTCTTACGGCCATGAAACATTGATTATACACGGGGATGTAGCTCAGTGGTAGAGCATTCGACTGCAGATCGAAATGTCCTCGGTTCAATCCCGAGTGTCCCCTTCCGACCGTCATTTTTTCATAAATCCTCTCATGCATTACTTCTCTTACGGCCATGAAACATTGATTATACACGGGGATGTAGCTCAGTGGTAGAGCATTCGACTGCAGATCGAAATGTCCTCTGTTCAAGAGTGTCCCCTTACAACAGTCATTTTTCATAAATCCTCTCATGCATTACTTCTCTTAAGAGCATGAAACATTGATTATACACGGGGATGTAGCTCAGTGGTAGAGCATTCGACTGCAGATCGAAATGTCCTCGGTTCAATCCGAGTGTCCCCTTCAAACGTCATTTTCATAAATCCCTCATGCATTACTTCTCTTACGGCCATGAAACATTGATTATACACGGGGGATGAAGCTCAGTGGTAGAGCATTCGACTGCAGATCGAAATGTCCTCGGTTCAATCCCGAGTGTCCCGTTCAACCGTCATTTTTCATAAATCCTCTCATGCATTACTTCTCTTACGACCATGAAACATTGATTATAGGGGATGTAGCTCAGTGGTAGAGCATTCGACTGCAGATCGAAATGTCCTCAGTTCAATCCTGGAGTGTCCCCTTCCAAACGTCATTTTTCATAAATCCTCTCATGCATTACTTCTCTTACGGCCATGAAACATTGATTATACACGGGGGATGTAGCTCAGTGGTAGAGCATTCGACTGCAGATCGAAATGTCCTCTGTTCAATACCGAGTGTCCCGTCCAACCGTCAGCAGTTTTTCTTAAATCCTCTCATGCATTACTTCTCTTACGGCCTTGAAACATTGATTATTAGCTCAGTGGTAGAGCATTCGACTGCAGATCGAAATGTCCTCTGTTCAATCCCGAGTGTCCCCTACCAGCAGTCATTTTTCTTAAATCCTCTCATGCATTACTTATCTTACGGCCTTGAAACATTGGTTATACACGGGGGATGAAGCTCAGTGGTAGAGCATTCGACTGCAGATCGAAATGTCCTCGGTTCAATCCCGAGTGTCCCCTTCCAACCGTCATTTTTCATAAATCCTCTCATGCATTACTTCTCTTACGGCCATGAAACATTGATTATACACGGGGATGTAGCTCAGTGGTAGAGCATTCGACTGCAGATCGAAATGTCCTCGGTTCAATCTTGAGTGTCCCCTTCCAACCGTCATTTTCATAAATCCTCTCATGCATTACTTCTCTTACGGCCATGAAACATTGATTATACACGGGGATGTAGCTCAGTGGTAGAGCATTCGACTGCAGATCGAAATGTCCTCGGTTCAATCCTGAGGTGTTTCCCTTCAACCAGTCATTTTTCATAAATCCTCTCATGCATTACTTCTCTTACGGCCTTGAAACATTGATTCTTACGGGGGATTGTACACGGGGGATGTAGCTCAGTGGTAGAGCATTCGACTGCAGATCGAAATGTCCTCGGTTCAATCCCGAGTGTCCCCTACCAGCAGTCGTTTTTCATAAATCCTCTCATGCATTACTTCTCTTACGACCATGAAACATTGATTATACACGGGGGATGTAGCTCAGTGGTAGAGCATTCGACTGCAGATCGAAATGTCCTCGGATCAATACCGAGTGTCCTGTTCCAACCGTCATTTTCATAAATCCTCTCATGCATTACTTCTCTTACGACCATGAAACATTGATTATACACGGGGATGTAGCTCAGTGGTAGAGCATTCGACTGCAGATCGAAATGTCCTCAGTTCAATCCCGAGTGTCCCCTTCCAACCGTCATTTTCATAAATCCTCTCATGCATTACTTCTCTTACGGCCATGAAACATTGATTATACACGGGGATGTAGCTCAGTGGTAGAGCATTCGACTGCAGATCGAAATGTCCTCGGTTCAATACGAGTGTCCCCTTCAACCGTCATTTTTCATAAATCCTCTCATGCATTACTTCTCTTACGGCCATGAAACATTGATTATACACGGGGATGTAGCTCAGTGGTAGAGCATTCGACTGCAGATCGAAATGTCCTCGGTTCAATCCTGAGTGTCCCTTCCAACCGTCATTTTCATAAATCCTCTCATGCATTACTTCTCTTACGACCATGAAACATTGATTATACACGGGGGATGTAGCTCAGTGGTAGAGCATTCGACTGCAGATCGAAATGTCCTCGGTTCAATCCTGAGTGTCCCCTTCCAACCGTCATTTTTCATAAATCCTCTCATGCATTACTTCTCTTACGACCATGAAACATTGATTATACACGGGGATGTAGCTCAGTGGTAGAGCATTCGACTGCAGATCGAAATGTCCTCGGTTCAATCCCTTCAAGTGTCATTTTCCAACTCGTCATTTTTCATAAATCCTCTCATGCATTACTTCTCTTACGGTCCCCATTTTGAAACATTGATTATACACGGGGATGTAGGGGATGTAGCTCAGTGGTAGAGCATTCGACTGCAGATCGAAATGTCCTCGGTTCAATCCCGAGTGTCCCCTTCAACCGTCATTTTCCATAAATCCTCTCATGCATTACTTCTCTTACGACCATCATTGATTATACACGGGGATGTAGCTCAGTGGTAGAGCATTCGACTGCAGATCGAAATGTCTCGGTTCAATCCCGAGTGTCCCCTTCAACCGTCATTTTGATAAATCCATTGCATTACTTCTCTTACGACCATGAAACATTGTTTATACACGGGGATGTAGCTCAGTGGTAGAGCATTCGACTGCAGATCGAAATGTCCTCGGTTCAATCCCGAGTGTCCCCTTCCAACCGTCATTTTTCATAAATCCTCTCATGCATTACTTCTCTTACGACCATGAAACATTGATTATACACGGGGGATGTAGCTCAGTGGTAGAGCATTCGACTGCAGATCGAAATTTGTCCTCGGTTCAATCCCGAGTGTCCCCATTCCAACCGTCATTTTTTCATAAATCATTCTCATGCATTACTTCTCTTACGGACCATGAAACATTGATTATACACGGGGATGTAGCTCAGTGGTAGAGCATTCGACTGCAGATCGAAATGTCCTCGGTTCAATCCCGAGTGTCCCCTTCAACCGTCATTTTTCATAAATCCTCTCATGCATTACTTCTCTTACGACCATGAAACATTGATTATACACGGGGATGTAGCTCAGTGGTAGAGCATTCGACTGCAGATCGAAATGTCCTCGGTTCAATCCGAGTGTCCCCTTCCAACCGTCATTTTCATAAATCCTCTCATGCATTACTTCTCTTACGACCATGAAACATTGATTATACACGGGGGATGTAGCTCAGTGGTAGAGCATTCGACTGCAGATCGAAATGTCCTCGGTTCAATCATTTTTCGAGTGTCCCCTTCCAACCGTCATTTTCATAAATCCTCTCATGCATTACTTCTCTTACGACCATGAAACATTGATTATACACGGGGATGTAGCTCAGTGGTAGAGCATTCGACTGCAGATCGAAATGTCCTCGGTTCAATCCTGAGTGTCCCCTTCCAACCGTCATTTTCATAAATCCTCTCATGCATTACTTCTCTTACGACCATGAAACATTGATTATACACGGGGATGTAGCTCAGTGGTAGAGCATTCGACTGCAGATCGAAATGTTCAATCCTTCAACCGTTCAATACGGCCATGAAACATTGATTATACACGGGGTGTCCCCATTTCCAACCGTCATCCCGAGTGTTTTCAATATTTTCCTCCTCATGCATTACTTCTCTTACGACCATGAAACATTGATTATACACGGGGATGTAGCTCAGTGGTAGAGCATTCGACTGCAGATCGAAATGTCCTCGGTTCAATCCTGAGTGTCCCCTTCCAACCGTCATTTTTCATAAATCCTCTCATGCATTACTTCTCTTACGACCATGAAACATTGATTATACACGGGGGATGTAGCTCAGTGGTAGAGCATTCGACTGCAGATCGAAATGTCCTCGGTTCAATCCCGAGTGTCCCGTTCCAACCGTCATTTTTCATAAATCCTCTCATGCATTACTTCTCTTACGGCCATGAAACATTGATTATGCACAGGGGATGTAGCTCAGTGGTAGAGCATTCGACTGCAGATCGAAATGTCCTCGGTTCAATACCGAGTGTCCCGTTCCAACCGTCATTTTTCATAAATCCTCTCATGCATTACTTCTCTTACGGCCATGAAACATTGATTATACACGGGGGATGTAGCTCAGTGGTAGAGCATTCGACTGCAGATCGAAATGTCCTCGGTTCAATCCCGAGTGTCCCCTTCAAACCGTCATTTTCATAAATCCGCTCATGCATTACTTCTCTTACGACCATGAAACATTGATTATACACGGGGGATGTAGCTCAGTGGTAGAGCATTCGACTGCAGATCGAAATGTCCTCGGTTCAATCCCGAGTGTCCCCTTCCAACCGTCATTTTTCATAAATCCTCTCATGCATTACTTCTCTTACGACCATGAAACATTGATTATACACGGTGGATGTAGCTCAGCGGTAGAGCATTCGACTGCAGATCGAAATGTCCTCGGGTCAATCCCGAGTGTCCCCTTCCAACCGTCATTTTCATAAATCCTCTCATGCATTACTTCTCTTACGGTCATGAAACATTGATTATACACGAGGGATGTAGCTCAGTGGTAGAGCATTCGACTGCAGATCGAAATGTCCTCGGTTCAATCCCGAGTGTTCCCTTCCGACCGTCATTTTTCATAAATCCTCTCCCTTCCAACCGTCGTTTTTCTTAAATCCTCTTGCATTGCTTCTCTTACGACCATGAAACATTGATTATACACGGGGATGTAGCTCAGTGGTAGAGCATTCGACTGCAGATCGAAATGTCCTCGGTTCAATCCCGAGTGTCCCCTTCAACCGTCATTTTTCATAAATCCTCTCATGCATTACTTCTCTTACGGACCATGAAACATTGATTATACACGGGGATGTAGCTCAGTGGTAGAGCATTCGACTGCAGATCGAAATGTCCTCGGTTCAATCCCTGAGTGTCCCCTTCCAACCGTCATTTTTCATAAATCCTCTCATGCATTACTTCTCTTACGACCATGAAACATTGATTATACACGGGGAAACAGATCGAAATTGTCCCCTTCCAACCGTCATTTTTTGAAACATTGATTATACACGGGGATGTAGCTCATGGTAGAGCATTCGACTGCAGATCGAAATGTCCTCAGTTCAATCCCGAGTGTCCCTTCCAACCGTCATTTTTTCATAAATCCTTCATGCATTACTTCTCTTACGACCATGAAACATTGATTATACACGGGGGATGTAGCTCAGTGGTAGAGCATTCGACTGCAGATCGAAATGTCCTCGGTTCAATCCCGAGTGTCCCCTTCCAACCGTCATTTTTCATAAATCCTCTCATGCATTACTTCTCTTACGACCATGAAACATTGATTATACACGGGGGATGTAGCTCAGTGGTAGAGCATTCGACTGCAGATCGAAATGTCCTCGGTTCAATCCGAGTGTCCCCTTCCAACCGTCATTTTCTTAAATCCTCTCATGCATTACTTCTCTTACGACCATGAAACATTGATTATACACGGGGATGTAGCTCAGTGGTAGAGCATTCGACTGCAGATCGAAATGTCCTCGGTTCAATCCTGAGTGTCCCCTTCCAACCGTCATTTTTCATAAATCCTCTCATGCATTACTTCTCTTACGACCATGAAACATTGATTATACACGGGGGATGTAGCTCAGTGGTAGAGCATTCGACTGATCAGATCGAAATGTCCTTCAACCGTCATTTTTTAAATCCTCTCATGCATTACTTCTGTCCCATGAAACATTGATTATACACGGGGGATGTAGCTCAACATTCGTCAGATTTTTCGGTTAAATCCTCTCATTTTCATAAATTACATTACTTCTCTTACGACCATGAAACATTGATTTATACGGGGGGATGTAGCTCAGTGGTAGAGCATTCGACTGCAGATCGAAATGTCCTCGGTTCAATCCCGAGTGTCCCCTTCCAACCGTCATTTTTCATAAATCCTCTCATGCATTACTTCTCTTACGGCCATGAAACATTGATTATACACAGGGGATGTAGCTCAGTGGTAGAGCATTCGACTGCAGATCGAAATGTCCTCGGTTCAATCCCGAGTGTCCCCTTCCAACCGTCATTTTTCATAAATCCTCTCATGCATTACTTCTCTTACGACCATGAAACATTGATTATACACGGGGGATGTAGCTCAGTGGTAGAGCATTCGACTGCAGATCGAAATGTCCTCGGTTCAATCCCGAGTGTCCCCTTCCAACCGTCATTTTTCATAAATCCTCTTGCATTACTTCTCTTACGACCATGAAACATTGATTATACACGGGGGATGTAGCTCAGTGGTAGAGCATTCGACTGCAGATCGAAATGTCCTCGGTTCAATCCCGAGTGTCCCCTTCCATCCGTCATTTTTCATAAATCCTCTCATGCATTACTTCTCTTACGACCATGAAACATTGATTATACACGGGGGATGTAGCTCAGTGGTAGAGCATTCGACTGCAGATCGAAATGTCCTCGGTTCAATCCCGAGTGTCCCCTTCCAACCGTCATTTTTCATAAATCCTCTCATGCATTACTTCTCTTACGACCATGAAACATTGATTGTACACGGGGATGTAGCTCAGTGGTAGAGCATTCGACTGCAGATCGAAATGTCCTCGGTTCAATCCCGAGTGTCCCTTCCAACCGTCATTTTCATAAATCCTCTCATGCATTACTTCTCTTACGGCCATGAAACATTGATTATACACGGGGATGTAGCTCAGTGGTAGAGCATTCGACTGCAGATCGAAATGTCCTCGGTTCAATCCGAGTGTCCCCTTCCAACCGTCATTTTTTCATAAATCCTCTCATGCATTACTTCTCTTACGGCCATGAAACATTGATTATACACGGGGATGTAGCTCAGTGGTAGAGCATTCGACTGCAGATCGAAATGTCCTCGGTTCAATCCCGAGTGTCCCCTTCCAACCGTCATTTTTCATAAATCCTCTCATGCATTACTTCTCTTACGGACCATGAAACATTGATTATACACGGGGATGTAGCTCAGTGGTAGAGCATTCGACTGCAGATCGAAATGTCCTCGGTTCAATCCCGAGTGTCCCCTTCCAACCGTCATTTTTCATAAATCCTCTCATGCATTACTTCTCTTACGACCATGAAACATTGATTATACACGGGGATGTTGCTCAGTGGTAGAGCATTCGACTGCAGATCGAAATGTCCTAGGTTCAATACCGAGTGTCCCTTCCAACCGTCATTTTTCATAAATCCTCTCATACATTACTTCTCTTACGACCATGAAACATTGATTATACACGGGGATGTAGCTCAGTGGTAGAGCATTCGACTGCAGATCGAAATGTCCTCGGTTCAATCCCTGAGTGTCCCCTTCCAACCGTCATTTTTCATAAATCCTCTCATGCATTACTTCTCTTACGGCCATGAAACATTGATTATACACGGGGATGTAGCTCAGTGGTAGAGCATTCGACTGCAGATCGAAATGTCCTCGGTTCAATCCTGTGTGTCCCTTCCAACCGTCATTTTTCATAAATCCTCTCATGCATTACTTCTCTTACGACCATGAAACATTGATTATACACGGGGATGTAGCTCAGTGGTAGAGCATTCGACTGCAGATCGAAATGTCCTCGGTTCAATCATTAGTGTCCCCTTCCAATCGTCATTTTTCATAAATCCTCTCATGCATTACTTCTCTTACGGCCATGAAACATTGATTATACACGGGGATGTAGCTCAGTGGTAGAGCATTCGACTGCAGATCGAAATGTCCTCGGTTCAATCCCGAGTGTCCCCTTCCAACCGTCATTTTTCATAAATCCTCTCATGCATTACTTCTCTTACGGACCATGAAACATTGATTATACACGGGGATGTAGCTCAGTGGTAGAGCATTCGACTGCAGATCGAAATGTCCTCGGTTCAATCCCGAGTGTCCCCTTCCAACCGTCATTTTTCATAAATCCTCTCATGCATTACTTCTCTTACGACCATGAAACATTGATTATACACGGGGATGTAGCTCAGTGGTAGAGCATTCGACTGCAGATCGAAATGTCCTCGGTTCAATCCTGAGTGTCCCCTTCCAACCGTCATTTTTCATAAATCCTCTCATGCATTACTTCTCTTACGACCATGAAACATTGATTATACACGGGGATGTAGCTCAGTGGTAGAGCATTCGACTGCAGATCGAAATGTCCTCGGTTCAATCCCAGTGTCCCCTTCCAACCGTCATTTTTCTTAAATCCTCTCATGCATTACTTCTCTTACGACCATGAAACATTGATTATACACGGGGGATGTAGCTCAGTAGTAGAGCATTCGACTGCAGATCGAAATGTCCTCGGTTCAATCCTGAGTGTCCCTTCCAACCGTCATTTTTCATAAATCCTCTCATGCATTACTTCTCTTACGACCATGAAACATTGATTATACACGGGGATGTAGCTCAGTGGTAGAGCATTCGACTGCAGATCGAAATGTCCTCGGTTCAATCCCGAGTGTCCCCTTCCAACCGTCATTTTTCATAAATCCTCTCATGCATTACTTCTCTTACGGCCATGAAACATTGATTATACACGGGGATGTAGCTCAGTGGTAGAGCATTCGACTGCAGATCGAAATGTCCTCGGTTCAATCCCGAGTGTCCCCTTCCAACCGTCATTTTTCATAAATCCTCTCATACATTACTTCTCTTACGGCCATGAAACATTGATTATACACGGGGATGTAGCTCAGTGGTAGAGCATTCGACTGCAGATCGAAATGTCCTCGGTTCAATCCCGAGTGTCCCCTTCCAACCCTTATTTTTCATAAATCCTCTCATGCATTACTTCTCTTACGACCATGAAACATTGATTATACACGGGGATGTAGCTCAGTGGTAGAGCATTCGACTGCAGATCGAAATGTCCCGGTTCAAAACATTCATAAATCCTCTCATGCATTACTTTACGACCATGAAACGGGGATTGTACACGGGGATCAGTGGTAGAGCATTCGACTGCAGATCGAAATGTCCTCGGTTCAATCCCGAGTGTCCCCTTCCAACCGTCATTTTTCATAAATCCTCTCATGCATTACTTCTCTACGACCATGAAACATTGATTATACACGGGGATGTAGCTCAGTGGTAGAGCATTCGACTGCAGATCGAAATGTCCTCGGTTCAATCCCGAGTGTCCCCTTCCAACCGTCATTTTTCATAAATCCTCTCATGCATTACTTCTCTTCTTACGACCATGAAACATTGATTATACACGGGGGATGTAGCTCAGTGGTAGAGCATTCGACTGCAGATCGAAATGTCCTCGGTTCAATCCCGAGTGTCCCCTTCCAACCGTCATTTTTCATAAATCCTCTCATGCATTACTTCTCTTACGGCCATGAAACATTGATTATACACGGGGGATGTAGCTCAGTGGTAGAGCATTCGACTGCAGATCGAAATGTCCTCGGTTCAATCCCGAGTGTCCCCTTCAACTCGTCATTTTCATAAATCCTAGCTCATGAGCATTCGATTATGTCCTCTCCCGAGTCTCTTACGTGTCCCCCATGAAACATTGATTATACACGGGGATGTAGCTCAGTGGTAGAGCATTCGACTGCAGATCGAAATGTCCTCGGTTCAATCCCGAGTGTCCCCTTCCAACCGTCATTTTTCATAAATCCTCTCATGCATTACTTCTCTTACGACCATGAAACATTGATTATACACGGGGATGTAGCTCAGTGGTAGAGCATTCGACTGCAGATCGAAATGTCCTCGGTTCAATCCCGAGTGTCCCCTTCAACCGTCATTTTTCATAAATCCTCTCATGCATTACTTCTCTTACGACCATGAAACATTGATTATACACGGGGATGTAGCTCAGTGGTAGAGCATTCGACTGCAGATCGAAATGTCCTCGGTTCAATCCCGTGTCCCCTTCCAACCGTCATTTTTCATAAATCATTACTTCTCTTACGACCATGAAACATTGATTATACCCCATTCCAACAGATCGAAATGTCCTCGGTTTCCAGTGTCCCCTTCCAATCGTCATTTTTCATAAATCCTCTCATGCATTACTTCTCTTACGGCCATGAAACATTGATTATACACGGGGATGTAAAGCTCAGTGGTAGAGCATTCGACTGCAGATCGAAATGTCCTCGGTTCAATCCCGAGTGTCCCCTTCCAACCGTCATTTTTCATAAATCCTCTCATGCATTACTTCTCTTACGACCATGAAACATTGATTATACACGGGGATGTAGCTCAGTGGTAGAGCATTCGACTGCAGATCGAAATGTCCTCGGTTCAATCCCGAGTGTCCCCTTCCAACCGTCATTTTTCATAAATCCTCTCATGCATTACTTCTCTTACGACCATGAAACATTGATTATACACGGGGATGTAGCTCAGTGGTAGAGCATTCGACTGCAGATCGAAATGTCCTCGGTTCAATCCCGAGTGTCCCCTTCAACCGTCATTTTTCGCATTCGCATAAATCCTCTCATACATTACTTCTCTTACGACCATGAAACATTGATTATACACGGGGATGTAGCTCAGTGGTAGAGCATTCGACTGCAGATCGAAATGTCCTCGGTTCAATCCCGAGTGTCCCCTTCCAACCGTCATTTTTCATAAATCCTCTCATGCATTACTTCTCTTACGGCCATGAAACATTGATTATACACGGGGGATGTAGCTCAGTGGTAGAGCATTCGACTGCAGATCGAAATGTCCTCGGATCAATACCGAGTGTCCCGTTCCAACCGTCATTTTCATAAATCCTCTCATGCATTACTTCTCTTACGACCATGAAACATTGATTATACACGGGGGATGTAGCTCAGTGGTAGAGCATTCGACTGCAGATCGAAATGTCCTCGGTTCAATCCCGAGTGTCCCCTTCCAACCGTCATTTTTCATAAATCCTCTCATGCATTACTTCTCTTACGACCATGAAACATTGATTATACACGGGGATGTAGCTCAGTGGTAGAGCATTCGACTGCAGATCGAAATGTCCTCGGTTCAATCCCGAGTGTCCCCTTCCAACCGTCATTTTTCATAAATCCTCTCATGCATTACTTCTCTTACGACCATGAAACATTGATTATACACGGGGATGTAGCTCAGTGGTAGAGCATTCGACTGCAGATCGAAATGTCCTCGGTTCATAAAATACGACCATGAAACAGTGTCCCCTTGGTAGAGCAACCAGTCATTTTCAATAAATCCTTCGTCATGCATTACTTCTCTTACGACCATGAAACATTGATTATACACGGGGATGTAGCTCAGTGGTAGAGCATTCGACTGCAGATCGAAATGTCCTCGGTTCAATCCCGAGTGTCCCCTTCCAACCGTCATTTTTCATAAATCCTCTCATGCATTACTTCTCTTACGGACCATGAAACATTGATTATACACGGGGGGGATGTAGCTCAGTGGTAGAGCATTCGACTGCAGATCGAAATGTCCTCGGTTCAATCCCGAGTGTCCCCTTCCAACCGTCATTTTCATAAATCCTCTCATGCATTACTTCTCTTACGACCATGAAACATTGATTATACACGGGGATGTAGCTCAGTGGTAGAGCATTCGACTGCAGATCGAAATGTCCTCGGTTCAATCCCGAGTGTCCCTTCCAACCGTCATTTTTCATAAATCCTTTCATGCATTACTTCTCTTACGACCATGAAACATTGATTATACACGGGGATGGGATAGAGCATTCGAGCTCGAAAGTGGTAGAGCATTCGACTGCAGATCGAAATGTCCTCGGTTCAATCCCGAGTGTCCCCTTCCAACCGTCATTTTTCATAAATCCTCTCATGCATTACTTCTCTTACGACCATGAAACATTGATTATACACGGGGGATGTAGCTCAGTGGTAGAGCATTCGACTGCAGATCGAAATGTCCTCGGTTCAATCCCGAGTGTCCCCTACCAGCAGTCATTTTTCATAAATCCTCTCATGCATTACTTCTCTTACGACCATGAAACATTGATTATACACGGGGAATGTAGCTCAGTGGTAGAGCATTCGACTGCAGATCGAAATGTCCTCGGTTCAATCCCGAGTGTCCCCTTCCAACCGTCATTTTTCATAAATCCTTTCATGCATTACTTCTCTTACGACCATGAAACATTGATTATACACGGGGGATGTAGCTCAGTGGTAGAGCATTCGACTGCAGATCGAAATGTCCTCGGTTCAATCCCGAGTGTCCCCTTCCAATCGTCATTTTTCATAAATCCTCTCATGCATTACTTCTCTTACGATCATGAAACATTGATCCTACACGGGGGATGTAGCACAGTGGTAGAGCATTCGACTGCAGATCGAAATGTCCTCGGTTCAATCCCGAGTGTCCCATTCCAACCGTCATTTTTCATAAATCCTCTCATGCATTACTTCTCTTACGACCATGAAACATTGTTTATACACGGGGGATGTAGCTCAGTGGTAGAGCATTCGACTGCAGATCGAAATGTCCTCGGTTCAATCCCGAGTGTCCCCTTCCAACCGTCATTTTTCATAAATCCTCTCATGCATTACTTCTCTTACGACCATGAAACATTGATTATACACGGGGGATGTAGCTCAGTGGTAGAGCATTCGACTGCAGATCGAAATGTCATCGGTTCAATCCCGTGTGTCCCTTCCAATCGTCATTTTTCTTAAATCCGCTCATGCATTACTTCTCTTACGACCATGAAACATTGATTATACACGGGGGATGTAGCTCAGTGGTAGAGCATTCGACTGCAGATTGAAATGTCCTCGGTTCAATCCCGAGTGTCACCTTCCAACCGTCATTTTTTCATAAATCCTTCTCATGCATTACTTCTCTTACGACCATGAAACATTGATTATACACGGGGATGTAGCTCAGTGGTAGAGCATTCGACTGCAGATCGAAATGTCCTCGGTTCAATCCCGAGTGTCCCCTTCCAACCGTCATTTTTCATAAATCCTTTCATGCATTACTTCTCTTACGACCATGAAACATTGATTATACACGGGGATGAAATGCTCAGTGGTAGAGCATTCGACGTCATTTTGCAAATCGAAATGTCCTTACGGTTCAATCATTGATTATACAGACGGGGATGTCCCCTTCCAACCGTTCAATTTTCTTAAATCGTCATTTTCATAAATCATGCATTACTTCTCTTACGACCATGAAACATTGATTATACACGGGGATGTAGCTCAGTGGTAGAGCATTCGACTGCAGATCGAAATGTCCTCGGTTCAATCCCGAGTGTCCCCTTCCAACCGTCATTTTTCATAAATCCTCTCATGCATTACTTCTCTTACGACCATGAAACATTGATTATACACGGGGATGTAGCTCAGTGGTAGAGCATTCGACTGCAGATCGAAATGTCCTCGGTTCAATCCTGAGTGTCCCCTTCCAATCGTCATTTTTCCGTCATGCATTTTTCTTACGAATGAAACCGGGGATGTAGCTCAGTGGTAGAGCATTCGACTGCAGATCGAAATCTCGGTTCAATCCGAGTGTCCTTCCAATGTCATTTTTCATAAATCCTTTCATTGCATTACTTCTCTTACGACCATGAAACATTGATTATACACGGGGATGTAGCTCAGTGGTAGAGCATTCGACTGCAGATCGAAATGTCCTCGGTTCAATCCTGAGTGTCCCCTTCCAACCGTCATTTTTCATAAATCCTTTCATGCATTACTTCTCTTACGACCATGAAACATTGATTATACACGGGGATGTAGCTCAGTGGTAGAGCATTCGACTGCAGATCGAAATGTCCTCGGTTCAATCCCGAGTGTCCCCTTCCAACGTCATCATTTTTCATAAATCCTTTCATGCATTACTTCTCTTACGACCATGAAACGTCGACTGCAGATCGAAATTTTCGTCATTTTTCATAAATCCTCTCATGCATTACTTCTCTTACGACCATGAAACATTGATTATACACGGGGATGTAGCTCAGTGGTAGAGCATTCGACTGCAGATCGAAATGTCCTCGGTTCAATCCCGAGTGTCCCCTTCCAACTGTCATTTTTTCATAAATCCTCTCATGCATTACTTCTCTTACGACCATGAAACATTGTTTATACACGGGGATGTAGCTCAGTGGTAGAGCATTCGACTGCAGATCGAAATGTTCAGCTCAGTGTCCCCTTCCAACCGTCATTTTCATAAATCCTTTCAGACTTCTCTTACGTCCATGAAACATTGATTTACACGGGGATGTAGCTCAGTGGTAGAGCATTCGACTCCAGATCGAAATTTTCCAGTGTGTCCCTTCCAACCGTCATTTTTCATAAATCTTTCATGCATTACTTCTCTTACGACCATGAAACATTGATTATACACGGGGATGTAGCTCAGTGGTAGAGCATTCGACTGCAGATCGAAATGTCCTCGGTTCAATCCCGAGTGTCCCCTTCCAACCGTCATTTTTCATAAATCCTTTCATGCATTACTTCTCTTACGACCATGAAACATTGATTATACACGGGGATGTAGCTCAGTGGTAGAGCATTCGACTGCAGATCGAAATGTCCTCGGTTCAATCCCGAGTGTCCCCTTCCAACCGTCATTTTTCATAAATCCTTTCATGCATTACTTCTCTTACGACCATGAAACATTGATTATACACGGGGATGTAGCTCAGTGGTAGAGCATTCGACTGCAGATCGAAATGTCCTCGGTTCAATCCCGAGTGTCCCCTTCCCCCATTTTTTCATACCGTCATGCATTACTTTTTACGACCATGAAACATTGAAATACACGGGGATGTAGCTCAGTGGTAGAGCATTCGACTGCAGATCTCTCGGTACGACCATGTCCCCTTCCAAAAAATCATGCATTACTTCTCTTACGACCATGAAACATTGATTATACACGGGGATGTAGCTCAGTGGTAGAGCATTCGACTGCAGATCGAAATGTCCTCGGTTCAATCCCGCATTAGTGTCCCCTTCCAACCGTCATTTTTCTTAAATCCTCAATCGCATTACATTCTCTTACGGACCATGAAACATTGATTATACACGGGGATGTAGCTCAGTGGTAGAGCATTCGACTGCAGATCGAAATGTCCTCGGTTCAATCCTGAGTGTCCCCATCTTACGACCATGAAACATTGATTATACGTCAGTGGTTTTTCATAAATGTCCTCGGTTCAATAGTGCAATCCGCTCCTTTCATGCATTACTTCTCTTACGACCATGAAACATTGATTATACACGGGGATGTAGCTCAGTGGTAGAGCATTCGACTGCAGATCGAAATGTCCTCGGTTCAATCCCCAATCGTGTCCCCTTCCAACCGTCAGCTTTTTCTTAAATCCGCTCATGTCATTACTTCTCTTACGACCATGAAACATTGATTATACACGGGGGATGTAGCTCAGTGGTAGAGCATTCGACTGCAGATCGAAATGTCCTCGGTTCAATCCCGAGTGTCCCCTTCCAATCGTCATTTTTCATAAATCCTTTCATGCATTACTTCTCTTACGACCATGAAACATTGATTATACACGGGGGATGTAGCTCAGTGGTAGAGCATTCGACTGCAGATCGAAATGTCCTCGGTTCAATCCCGAGTGTCCCCTTCCAACCGTCATTTTTCTTAAATCCTTTCATGCATTACTTCTCTTACGACCATGAAACATTGATTATATACACGGGGATGTAGCTCAGTGGTAGAGCATTCGACTGCAGATCGAAATGTCCTCGGTTCAATCCATTGAGTGTCCCCTTCCAACCGTCATTTTTCAGTGTCCCCTCCAACCGTCATTTTTAAATCCTTTCATGCATTACTTCTCTTACGACCATGAAACATTGATTATACACGGGGATGTAGCTCAGTGGTAGAGCATTCGACTGCAGATCGAAATGTCCTCGGTTCAATCCCGAGTGTCCCCTTCCAACCGTCATTTTTCATAAATCCTTTCATGCATTACTTCTCTTACGACCATGAAACATTGATTATACACGGGGATGTAGCTCAGTGGTAGAGCATTCGACTGCAGATCGAAATGTCCTCGGTTCAATCCCGAGTGTCCCCTTCCAACCGTCATTTTTTCATAAATCCTTTCATGCATTACTTCTCTTACGACCATGAAACATTGATTATACACGGGGATGTAGCTCAGTGGTAGAGCATTCGACTGCAGATCGAAATGTCCTCGGTTCAATCCTGAGTGTCCCGTTCCAATCGTCATTTTTCATAAATCCTCTCATGCATTACTTCTCTTACGACCATGAAACATTGATTATACACGGGGGATGTAGCTCAGTGGTAGAGCATTCGACTGCAGATCGAAATGTCCTCGGTTCAATCCTTACGACCATGTGTCCCCTTCATTCAACTGCAGTCGAAATGTCCTTTTCAATAAATCCATTTTAAATGCATTACTTCTCTTACGACCATGAAACATTGATTATACACGGGGATGTAGCTCAGTGGTAGAGCATTCGACTGCAGATCGAAATGTCCTCGGTTCAATCCCGAGTGTCCCCTTCCAACCGTCATTTTTCATAAATCCTTTCATGCATTACTTCTCTTACGACCATGAAACATTGTTTATACACGGGGATGTAGCTCAGTGGTAGAGCATTCGACTGCAGATCGAAATGTCCTCGGTTCAATCCCGAGTGTCCCCTTCCAATCGTCATTTTTCTTAAATCCTCTCATGCATTACTTCTCTTACGACCATGAAACATTGATTATACACGGGGATGTAGCTCAGTGGTAGAGCATTCGACTGCAGATCGAAATGTCCTCGGTTCAATCCCGAGTGTCCCCTTCCAACCGTCATTTTTCTTAAATCCTTTCATGCATTACTTCTCTTACGACCATGAAACATTGATTATACACGGGGATGTAGCTCAGTGGTAGAGCATTCGACTGCAGATCGAAATGTCCTCGGTTCAATCCCGAGTGTCCCCTTCCAATCGTCATTTTTTCATAAATCCTTTCATGCATTACTTCTCTTACGACCATGAAACATTGTTTATACACGGGGATGTAGCTCAGTGGTAGAGCATTCGACTGCAGATCGAAATGTCCTCGGTTCAATCCCGAGTGTCCCCTTCCAACCGTCATTTTTCTCATGCATTAAATCCTGTTCATGGCATTATCGAAATGTCTCTTACGACCATGAAACATTGATTATACACGGGGATGTAGCTCAGTGGTAGAGCATTCGACTGCAGATCGAAATGTCCTCGGTTCAATCGAGTGTTCAATGAGTGTCCCTTCAACCGTCATTTTTCTTAAATCCGCTCATGCATTACTTCTCTTACGACCATGAAACATTGATTATACACGGGGATTGTCCTCAGTGGTAGAGCATTCGACTGCAGATCGAAATGTCCTCGGTTCAATCCCAGTGTCCCCTTCCAACAAAATTTTCATAATCGTAGCTCAGTGGTAGAGCATTCAGATCGAAATGTCCTCGGTTCAATCCCTGAGTGTCCCCTTCCAATCGTCATTTTTTAAATCCTTTCATGCATTACTTCTCTTACGACCATGAAACATTGATTATACACGGGGATGTAGCTCAGTGGTAGAGCATTCGACTGCAGATCGAAATGTCCTCGGTTCAATCCCGAGTGTCCCCTTCCAATCGTCATTTTTCATAAATCCTTTCATGCATTACTTCTCTTACGACCATGAAACATTGATTATACACGGGGATGTAGCTCAGTGGTAGAGCATTCGACTGCAGATCGAAATGTCCTCGGTTCAATCCCGAGTGTCCCCTTCCAACCGTCGTTTTTCATAAATCCTTTTCATGCATTACTTCTCTTACGACCATGAAACATTGATTATACACGGGGATGTAGCTCAGTGGTAGAGCATTCGACTGCAGATCGAAATGTCCTCGGTTCAATCCCGAGTGTCCCCTTCCAACCGTCATTTTCATAAATCCTTTCATGCATTACTTCTCTTACGACCATGAAACATTGATTAAACACAGGGGATGTAGCTCAGTGGTAGAGCATTCGACTGCAGATCGAAATGTCCTCGGTTCAATCCCGAGTGTCCCCTTCAATCGTCATTTTCATAAATCCCCTCATGCATTACTTCTCTTACGACCATGAAACATTGATTATACACGGGGATGTAGCTCAGTGGTAGAGCATTCGACTGCAGATCGAAATGTCCTCGGTTCAATCCCGAGTGTCCCCTTCCAACCGTCATTTTCATAAATCCGCTCATGCATTACTTCTCTTACGACCATGAAACATTGATTATACACGGGGGATGTAGCTCAGTGGTAGAGCATTCGACTGCAGATCGAAATGTCCTCGGTTCAATCCCGAGTGTCCCCTTCCAACCGTCATTTTTCATAAATCCTTTCATGCATTACTTCTCTTACGACCATGAAACATTGATTATACACGGGGGATGTAGCTCAGTGGTAGAGCATTCGACTGCAGATCGAAATGTCCTCAGTTCAATCCTGAGTGTCCCTTCCAACCGTCATTTTTCATAAATCCCATTACTTCTCTTACGTCCATGAAACATTGATTATACACGGGGATGTAGCTCAGTGGTAGAGCATTCGACTGCAGATCGAAATGTCCTCGGTTCAATCCCGAGTGTCCCCTTCCAATCGTGTTTTTTCTTAAATCCTTTCATGCATTACTTCTCTTACGACCATGAAACATTGATTATACACGGGGGATGTAGCTCAGTGGTAGAGCATTCGACTGCAGATCGAAATGTCCTCGGTTCAATCCCGAGTGTCCCCTTCCAATCGTCATTTTTCATAAATCCTTTCATGCATTACTTCTCTTACGACCATGAAACATTGATTATACACGGGGGATGTAGCTCAGTGGTAGAGCATTCGACTGCAGATCGAAATGTCCTCGGTTCAATATCGAGTGTCCCCTTCCAATCGTCATTTTTCATAAATCCTTTCATGCATTACTTCTCTTACGACCATGAAACATTGATTATACACGGGGGATGTAGCTCAGTGGTAGAGCATTCGACTGCAGATCGAAATGTCCTCGGTTCAATCCCGAGTGTCCCCTTCCAATCGTCATTTTTCATAAATCCTTTCATGCATTACTTCTCTTACGACCATGAAACATTGATTATACACGGGGGTATGTAGCTCAGTGGTAGAGCATTCGACTGCAGATCGAAATGTCCTCGGTTCAATCCCGAGTGTCCCCTTCCAATCGTCATTTTTCATAAATCCTTTCATGCATTACTTCTCTTACGACCATGAAACATTGATTATACACGGGGGATGTAGCTCAGTGGTAGAGCATTCGACTAGATCATGCAGATCGGGGAAGCTCAGTGTCCTCGACTGCAGATCGAAATGTCAAGTTCAATCCCGTGTGTCCCCTTCCAATCGTCATTTTTCATAAATCCGCTCATGCATTACATCTCTTACGACCATGAAACATTGTTTATACACGGGGATGTAGCTCAGTGGTAGAGCATTCGACTGCAGATCGAAATGTCCTCGGTTCAATCCTGAGTGTCCCCTTCCAACCGTCATCGTTTTTCATAAATCCTTTCATGCATTACTTCTCTTACGACCATGAAACATTGATTATACACGGGGATGTAGCTCAGTGGTAGAGCATTCGACTGCAGATCGAAATGTCCTCGGTTCAAAGTGTCCCTTCCTCGTCATTTTTCATAAATCCTTTCATGCATTACTTCTTTACGACCATGAAACATTGTTTATACACGGGGATGTAGCTCAGTGGTAGAGCATTCGACTGCAGATCGAAATGTCCTCGGTTCAATCCTGTGTCCCCCTTTCGTCATTTTTCATAAATCCTTTCATGCATTACTTCTCTTACGACCATGAAACATTGATTATACACGGGGGTATGTAGCTCAGTGGTAGAGCATTCGACTGCAGATCGAAATGTCCTCGGTTCAATCCGAGTGTCCCCTTCCAATCGTCATTTTTCTTAAATCCTTTCATGCATTACTTCTCTTACGACCATGAAACATTGATTATACACGGGGATGTAGCTCAGTGGTAGAGCATTCGACTGCAGATCGAAATGTCCTCGGTTCAATCCCGAGTGTCCCCTTCCAATCGTCATTTTCTTAAATCCTTTCATGCATTACTTCTCTTACGACCATGAAACATTGATTATACACGGGGATGTAGCTCAGTGGTAGAGCATTCGACTGCAGATCGAAATGTCCTCGGTTCAATCCCGAGTGTCCCCTTCCAACCGTCATTTTTCTTAAATCCTTTCATGCATTACTTCTCTTACGGACCATGAAACATTGATTATACACGGGGATGTAGCTCAGTGGTAGAGCATTCGACTGCAGATCGAAATGTCCTCGGTTCAATCCCGAGTGTCCCCTTCCAACCGTCATTTTTCATAAATCCTTTCATGCATTATTCTCTTACGACCATGAAACATTGTTTATACACGGGGATGTAGCTCAGTGGTAGAGCATTCGACTGCAGATCGAAATGTCCTCGGTTCAATCCCGAGTGTCCCCTTCCAATCGTCATTTTTCATAAATCCTTTCATGCATTACTTCTCTTACGACCATGAAACATTGATTATACACGGGGATGTAGCTCAGTGGTAGAGCATTCGACTGCAGATCGAAATGTCCTCGGTTCAATCCTGAGTGTCCCTTCCAATCGTCGTTTTCATAAATGATTTTCATGCATTACATTTCTCTTACGACCATGAAACATTGATTATACACTTACGGGGGGATGGGGCTCAGTGGTAGAGCATTCGACTGCAGATCGAAATGTCCTCGGTTCAATCCCGAGTGTCCCCTTCCAATCGTCATTTTTCATAAATCCTTTCATGCATTACTTCTCTTACGACCATGAAACATTGATTATACACGGGGATGTAGCTCAGTGGTAGAGCATTCGACTGCAGATCGAAATGTCCTCGGTTCAATCCCAGTGTCCCCTTCCAATCGTCATTTTCATAAATCCTTTCATGCATTACTTCTCTTACGACCATGAAACATTGATTATACACGGGGATGTAGCTCAGTGGTAGAGCATTCGACTGCAGATCGAAATGTCCTCGGTTCAATCCCGAGTGTCCCCTTCCAATCGTCATTTTTCTTAAATCCTTTCATGCATTACTTCTCTTACGACCATGAAACATTGATTATACACGGGGATGTAGCTCAGTGGTAGAGCATTCGACTGCAGATCGAAATGTCCTCGGTTCAATCCCGAGTGTCCCCTTCCAATCGTCATTTTTCATAAATCCTTTCATGCATTACTTCTCTTACGGACCATGAAACATTGATTATACACGGGGATGTAGCTCAGTGGTAGAGCATTCGACTGCAGATCGAAATGTCCTCGGTTCTTAAATCCCATGCAGTGTCCCCTTCCAACTCAGTGGTCATTTTTCTTAAATCCGGTTTCATCCAACTGTCATTAAATCCTTTCATTCTCTTACGACCATGAAACATTGATTATACACGGGGATGTAGCTCAGTGGTAGAGCATTCGACTGCAGATCGAAATGTCCTCGGTTCAATCCCGTGTCCCCTTCCAATCGTCATTTTTCTTAAATCCTTTCATGCATTACTTCTCTTACGACCATGAAACATTGATTATACACGGGGATGTAGCTCAGTGGTAGAGCATTCGACTGCAGATCGAAATGTCCTCGGTTCAATCCCGAGTGTCCCTTCCAATCGTCGTTTTCTTAAATCCGCTTACGAAATGTTCCGTTCAATCTCGAGTGTCCCCCTTCCAATCGTATTTTTCATAAATCCTTTCATTACATTACTTCTCTTACGACCATGAAACATTGATTATACACGGGGATGTAGCTCAGTGGTAGAGCATTCGACTGCGAAAGATCGAAAGTGTGTCCAATCGGTTCATGAAACATTGATTATACACGGGGATGTAGCTCAGTGTCCGACTGCAGATCAACTCGTCGTGTCCCCTTTTCATTTTCATAAATCCTTTCATGCATTACTTCTCTTACGGACCATGAAACATTGATTATACACGGGGATGTAGCTCAGTGGTAGAGCATTCGACTGCAGATCGAAATGTCCTCGGTTCAATCCTGAGTGTCCCCTTCCAATCGTCATTTTTCTTAAATCCTTTCATGCATTACTTCTCTTACGACCATGAAACATTGATTATACACGGGGATGTAGCTCAGTGGTAGAGCATTCGACTGCAGATCGAAATGTCCTCGGTTCAATCCCGAGTGTCCCCTTCCAATCGTCATTTTTCATAAATCCTTTCATGCATTACTTCTCTTACGACCATGAAACATTGATTATACACGGGGGATGTAGCTCAGTGGTAGAGCATTCGACTGCAGATCGAAATGTCCTCGGTTCAATCCCGAGTGTCCCCTTCCAACCGTCATTTTTCATAAATCCTTTCATGCATTACTTCTCTTACGACCATGAAACATTGATTATACGGGGGATGTAGCTCAGTGGTAGAGCATTCGACTGCAGATCGAAATGTCCTCGGTTCAATCCCGAGTGTCCCCTTCCAATCGTCATTTTTCATAAATCCTTTCATGCATTACTTCTCTTACGACCATGAAACATTGTTTATACACGGGGGATGTAGCTCAGTGGTAGAGCATTCGACTGCAGATCGAAATGTCCTCGGTTCAATCCTGAGTGTCCCCTTCCAATCGTCATTTTTCTTAAATCCTTTCATGCATTACTTCTCTTACGGACCATGAAACATTGATTATACACGGGGATGTAGCTCAGTGGTAGAGCATTCGACTGCAGATCGAAATGTCCTCGTGGTTCAATCCCTTAAAGTGTCCCCTTACCCATGAAATCGTCATCGAAATGTTTTCAATCCCGTGTGTCCCCTTCCAATCGTCATTTTTCTTAAATCCGCTCATTAAATTACTTCTCTTACGTCCATGAAACATTGATTATACACGGGGGATGTAGCTCAGTGGTGAGCATTCGAGATCGAAATTCGATCTGCAAGTCGTTTTTCATAAAATGCATTCCTCGGACCATGAAACATTGATTTCAATCCCAGATCGTGTGTCCCCTTCCAATCGTCATTTTTCTTAAATCCTTTCATGCATTACTTCTCTTACGACCATGAAACATTGATTATACACGGGGATGTAGCTCAGTGGTAGAGCATTCGACTGCAGATCGAAATGTCCTCGGTTCAATCCCGAGTGTCCCCTTCCAACCGTCATTTTTCTTAAATCCTTTCATGCATTACTTCTCTTACGACCATTGAAACATTGATTGGTAGCATTCGACTGGGAAATGTCCTCGGCTCAGTGGTAAAGATGCATTCGACCATGCATTGATCGAAATGTCCTCGGTTCAATCCCGAGTGTCCCTTCCAATCGTCATTTTTCTTAAATCCTTTCATGCATTACTTCTCTTACGACCATGAAACATTGATTATACACGGGGATGTAGCTCAGTGGTAGAGCATTCGACTGCAGATCGAAATGTCCTCGGTTCAATCCTGAGTGTCCCCTTCCAATCGTCATTTTTCTTAAATCCTCCTTTCATGCATTACTTCTCTTACGACCATGAAACATTGTTTATACACGGGGATGTAGCTCAGTGGTAGAGCATTCGACTGCAGATCGAAATGTCCTCGGTTCAATCCCGAGTGTCCCCTTCCAATCGTCATTTTTCTTAAATCCTTTCATAAATTACATCTCTTACGGACCATGAAACATTGATTATACACGGGGATGTAGCTCAGTGGTAGAGCATTCGACTGCAGATCGAAATGTCCTCGGTTCAATCCTGTGTCCCCTTCCAACCGTCATTTTTCATAAATCCTTTCATGCATTACTTCTCTTACGACCATGAAACATTGATTATACACGGGGATGTAGCTCAGTGGTAGAGCATTCGACTGCAGATCGAAATGTCCTCGGTTCAATCCCGAGTGTCCCCTTCCAATCGTCATTTTTCTTAAATCCTTTCATAAATTACTTCTCTTACGACCATGAAACATTGATTATACACGGGGGATGTAGCTCAGTGGTAGAGCATTCGACTGCAGATCGAAATGTCCTCGGTTCAATCCCGTGTGTCCCCTTCCAATCGTCATTTTTTTTCATGCATTAAACGACCCATGAAACATTGATTATACACGGGGGATGT